GCTCGGCGATGGTGGCCAGAACCGAAGGTTTTGGGCCAAAACGCCTACTGACAGGACTAACAGACACGTCAGGTTTGGGGGCGGCTCTGGGAGGACGGGCTCGCAGATTCAAGCTGGCCTCAAACTTATCGTCGAGAAGAGATGTTACTATGCTACTGTCGCTCTCTGAAAAAAAAACCCTGCTGCCTTCGTCACTCCCATTAAACTCCGGGGGGGGGGGGGGGGGGGGCGTCCATCGAAAGGCGGGTGAGAGACCCAGCGCTATGGCATAGGCATAGAAACGACGAATCTGAACCAGAAGACTGAAGCACGAGGACCGGGCCCTCGAAAAAGAAAACACCACAGACATGTTATCTGAAAGGAACAGCTGACGCGCGCTGACTCCATGCGAGGTCTTGGCCAACTTCTGGACTGCTTTAACAAGGGCCCTGGCCTCCAGGATCAAAATGCCTTCGGGGCAACGCCAGATCCCTGAGCGGACCGTCTCCCAGGCCCCTTTCCGGAGCCACTCCCAGGGGGCTTCGGCAAAATCAGGGTCAACATCCCGGGCGGACAAAGCATCGGGCTCAGAGGAATCCTACTTTATCACACTCTCGATGCTGCGGATCATCCCCGAGTTATCTTGGGCCAGGCTTGCGGCTGCGAGCGCGCTCTCTCGCGCAGGCCCCCCCTGCGCTGAGCGAAAACGGGCTCGCTCGGGCAGCCCCCCGACCTCCTCCACCGCGCGGGGCGGCCAGAAGGACTGTGCCATGCCCCAGCCGCTCTCGCCGGCGTCGGTCTGGAGCACGCAGTGGTTCCACGGGCGCCGCCAGTCCTGCACCATCAGCGCGAGCAGGCCGCGGAACATCTTCACCTCCTTCACGACCTCGGGCCACAGACGAGCGGGCTCGAGGTAGCGTCGCTGGATGAAGCGGTAGGAGGCGTGCCAACAACTCAACGAGCCCCGCAAGGCTAGCCCACAGAAGGTACAGTGGCCGAGCACCATCTCCAGGGCCCACCCCGTCGCGCGGTCGCGCGCCAGCAGGCCCCCCAGCCCCATGTACACCTTCCAGAACCGGCCGTCGCTCACGCCCGATCTCATCAGCTCGAGGCCCAGTTTGGTCCCCAGAGCCTCGCACGGGCCTGAGGTCACGGAGCTCTTGTGCAGGTCGAGGCCGACCCCCTCAAAGAGCCCCGCCCACTGGTCGAGGACCTCCAGCGCGATGGTCTCGGACGGGGTGATGACGCCTAGGTTGTCGACATACACGTAGGCCCCTCCAACGCGGCCAGGCCCGGCGATGACCAGCGGGGGCCCGCGGTCGCTCATGAGCAGCCTATCGGAAATCACCATATCTCCCCCGGCCAAAGGTTCGAGCTGACGGCTCTCTCCTCGTTGGCATCCTGCGCCAGAAAGAGCGACCACGAGAAGCCCATGGGGAGCGCTCCGATGCATGGGAGGACCAGGGTGTCAGGCCCCAGTAGAGCCCCCTCGAGCTCCTGGCCCGCGAGCCCCAGGACGTGGGCGGGCGCGGCCGGCAGCGAAAAGAACTTCGCTAAGCTCAGGGGGATCCGCATGCGGTAGAAGCAGCCCTTAACGTCCGTCATCCCCAGAAAAAGCCTGAACTTGTTCAGCAGCTCCTCCGCGCGGGCGGAGCCGATGGTCACACCCTCGGGGGGCCTCGCCTCCACGCGCCTAAAGCCCTCGCAGGAGAGGAGCTGCACGCTGGGCGGCACGTTGAACCAGGCGTTGGCACGCTGGGCGTCCACTATCATCCGCAGCTCGTGCCCGTCAGACTTCTTCACGAAAAAGAGGCCAGCCTGCTCAGACGGTGTCAAAGTTGCCAGCAACAGACCTCGTGACGTGAGATCCTTCAAAAAACTGTGGTGCTTCTTCTTGTTCCGCTTCAGCAGCGGGTCGAAATGCGGAGTTGGCAAGCTGTCAAAATCGATCTCGTGGATCGGCCGCCTCATTCGCCTGTGATTCTCCTCCAGATAAGTGCGACCAGCCTCGCCCACTTTGTCTTCCACCTGGTGGCAGCCGACAATCGACGGGGGCCAGGACACGCGGTCGTGGACGAAGGAGGCCAGGTTCCTCGGGGAGCCCGATGTGTCGTAGATCGAGCACCCCTTGAGCAGCGCACTGAGCGCCGCCTCGCGGGGCGGACAGGGGCTGGGAGCTGCGGCCTGACGCCGAAGAGCTTCGCTAGCCACCCACTGCGCGACCCCAGCATGCTCGCCCCAGATGGAGCCCAAGGGGCGCGGCGGACCAGCGTCGGAGGGCTCCCAGCCAGCAAGCCAGCTGAGAGAGTCGGTCGCGCCACTCGCCAATTCATGCTCACGCTCCGCCTGGCGCCAGCAATCCGGGCGCGGTCGCCGCCCATGCTGGCAGGCGGCGCGGCCAGGCGAGGAAGAGGGAAGAGGTCCCTGTCTCCGCTCGCCAACGCCAGAGACGCTCGCCGGGCCGAAGAGGAAGTCCAGCCAGCGGGGGCCCACTCCGCCGACTGCGTCGACACCGTCGTGATTGCGCAGGCGGCGCGAGGGCACGCGATCGGTTCTTGTTACCCCGACCGCCCCCGCTGCCGCCCCGGCCACCGCCTTTGCCTCCATCCTCGGCCGTCTCGCGCGGTGGAGCTCGAGACGATGAGGCGCTCGCAGCGACCGCCTCGGCCTTCTCGTCGCCCTGCAGCAGCTCATGCTCCTCCTTGGCCCGCCTCGACACGTGTGAGCGCAGGCCTGGGGCCATGAGCTGGCCCACCTCCGTCAGAGGCGAGAGGTACTTCGCATTCGAGTAGGACGCCGTGCCGCTGGTCTTGCGGGTATCGACCAACAGATTCAGTCGGAGGGCTGCGACCTCCAAGCACGCCAGTCCGCCTAGGTTGAGCTGGTCGAACTCTCCCGCCTCCAACAGGATGTCGCAGAGCACCCTGAGATCGTGGGCCACCCTGTCCGTGGGCGATATCCCCTTCTCCCTTAGGAAACGTTCCAGCCAGGCTCGGGGCGACCCGTTCAAGTTCATCATGGTCTTGCACGCGTGGAGGCACGTCCGATCCGAAGGCAGGCGATAGTGATCCCACTCAACTTCCGAGCTCTCGGCCACCGCGCGGCGGAAGTCCTTCCGGCGCTCGCCCTGCTCGCCCCAGTCGACCCAGAGCGTTCTCACGTCGTTGTTGGGCTCCTCGGGCGCTCCCTCCCGCCGAGCGTCAGCCTCATCAGCGAGACCCAGCTTGGCAGCTAGGTGGTCGGGGTCAGGGCGGTCCGCAGGCGCCCGGGGCGGAGGTGTCTCGGCGCCGCCCACCGCGGACACCGCGGGCGCCGGCAAGGGGGCGGCACCCAGCAGCCCTCGCAGCTCCTCCAGACGACCAGCTGCCCACTCAACGATGCCGTCCGCGTCCACCTGCTCCAGCCGAGCCCAGCGGCCGCCTCGTCAGAGGCGGGCCAGCGCCTGGCTGCCGGCGCGCGCAGCGCCCTCGGGCAAGGGTCCACCTCCGTGCCGACGGGCATCCCCGGCAGCGGTTCCGCCAGCACCCATGGCCGCTCTCCTATCAACCATGGGAAATACTCTCGACCAGCTCGCTCAACACCGCCGGGAAGCATCACACGTTCCGCGCCCTCGAACTCCCGCTGGCCACAGCCACGCATAGTCTCGCGGCGCTCCGCCGCGCGCTCCAAGGCCTCATCCAGGCTCGGGAGCAGGCGGAACCTGTACAGGCGGCGACCGTCTGGAGGGTCCCCCGTCCGTCTGGTCCAAGACGGATCCTGCCGATGGCCCCGTCGCGGGATTCTTCCCGCTGAGGTCCTCCTCCCACACGTCGCCGTCGGCGGACAGCACCCAGTGCGTCGTCTTCCCTCGCAGCCGCCCCCGTGCGTCTCGGCGACGGCATGGCCAGAGCACGATCCTGGCGTGGTCCGTGGCCTCCCAATCGTACGAGACGCGGATCAGCGATCCGACGGGCAGCTCAGCGCACCACTCCTCCGCCACGGCGAGCGGGGGCAGGTGTGACGTCGAGCGATCATGTTCTTCCGTACGGCTGCGGCGCTGGCAGTGATGCACCAGCCGGCGTAGTTCTCCCAGGAGTGCGACCGTCACACCCGGAGCAGCTGCTGCCACCCAGCCCCAGGGTCCACCTCGGGCTCGGGCTTCGAGCTCTCCACCACGGGACACACCGGCTGCACCACAGGACACGGCGCCGCCTCCCGCTCAGGGCACGGTGGGCAGCTGTCAGGGCCAGGCGGCAGCCACGCTGGCGGGCACACGGCCTGCAGAGCGCAGGGAGGAAGCCCCGGCTCGAATGGCGGCTGCAGGCCTCCTGAGGGCAGAGCGATCAGGTTGGCCAGTCCCACGGCCACCAACGCGAGGTGGCCAGGGGGCGCAGTCATCTCAGACCGACAAGCAACTTGAGAATGAACGGCAGCACGGAAGAGAAGCGACTGGACGGTTCCTGCTGTCTCTGTGTGGACAAAGGAAGCCGAGAACATCACCAAGACGGCCCCTCTGCTCAACCCGTTCTAAAACCTCCCGGATGGAGCCGAGCTTCTTGCCAGTAGCCACATCATGCCAGGGATCTCTACCACCTCGAGGAGATCGATCTCCGTCGCTCTCGGGCATGGAGTCAGCACTTCTTCGTGCACCTCAGCAGGTGAGCGCGTGCGCAGAAAGGCCACGGTACCTCGAGAATATTCCGCGTCAGTATGTAAAATGAGGATCCAACATAATCTCCTGAGCTGGCCGCGGCCTAGCGGTTTCCATGGAAAGCCTGCTGGCGCTGTGCCAGCCCACATTGGAATCTTGAGCTACAATGGCCACGAAGGAGGAGGAGGAGGAAGGGGAAGAGGAGGAGGAGGAGGAGGAGGAGGAGGAGGAGGAGGAGGAGGGGGAGGAGGCGGAGGACCAGGAGGAAGAGGGGAGGAGGCCCAAGAGCGTCCGAAATCTGCACACCTCGAGGCTCCACGTCGACGCCGTCGAGGTCGACGTGGGGCCCTCGCTCAGGGCGGGGGGGCGCGGGGCTCGCGGGGCTCGCGGCCTCTGCTTGCGGTAGGCCGCCTCGAGGATGTAGGCGACCAGCGTCGTCGTCTTGCCTGGGCAGGGAGGGGGGCAGGAGAGGAGGGGAAGGCGGGGAGGGGAAGACGAGGAGGGGAAGGAGGGGAAGACGAGAGACGGAGGCGGGTGGGCAGAGGCGGAGAAGGACCTTTCAACAGGTTCTGCGAGAGCCACAGCGTGGGAGAAGAGGAGGAATAAGGAGCCAGAGGAAGAAGGCGAGGCGAGGGGGAGGACGAGAAGGAGGAGAAGGAGAAGGAGGAGGAGGAGGAAGAGGAGGAAACGGGAAAACAATAGCAGACAGAGAGGAGATGGAAGAGATAAGATAATGACAGTGTATTAGGGAAGAGGAGGCGGAGAAGGAGGCGAGAGTAGAAAGAGATAGCCAAGTGGACTGAATGCAGAGCGACAGGGAAGTCGCCCAGAGAAAGGAGAGGCCCAACGACCTCGATCGTCAATCAGAGAAGCTGGACGGGGCCGGGGAGCATGGCACGGGAGGGGCGTAGAAAGAGAGAGGGCGAGGGAGAGAGAGGGAGAGAGAGAGAGAGGGAGGGAGAGAGAGAGAGAGAGAGAGTGAGAAAGATAGAGAGAGAGAGGAAGACATAAATAAAGAGAGAGAGAGGGGGAGGGAGAGAGGGGGGAAGAGAGAGAGAGAGAGAGAAACAAAAACATAAAGAAATATAGATATATATAGAGAGAGAGAGAGAGAGAGAGAGAGAGGGCGAGGGAAGAAAGGCAGAGAGAGAGAGAGGGAGAGAGCGATAAAGAAAGATATATAGAGAGAAAGAGAGAAGAAAGAGAGAGGGAGAGAGAAAGAGAGAGAGGGAGAAAGAAAGAGAGAGAGAGAGAGGGAGAGACAGACATGCCTCCCAGTGATGGCACGAATCTTCCTCTCTCAGAAAGAATGCGAAGCGAAAAACTGCAAAGGGCGACGCTCAATGTGCGGCAGACCGAGAGGCTCTCCGAGGGTCGCGCTGGGGATGCGAAGGCGAGGTGCCTGGCGACCCCCCGTAGCCCATCGGATGGCCATCGAACATAACCTCGCGCCCGGTCTGTGGCACGGTGGGAGCACTGGATGAGGAACCTTTAGATAAGGAGTCCAGGGTCTGGAAGCGGGGGCTTGACCATGGAAATCGCCGCCGCCCTGACCGGGTAAGGAATCCTCCAGGGTCTGGAGCCTTCTGGGCACATTCCTTGACCCACGCCCCCACCGTACGGGTCCACGGCTCTGCCCGATTCGTTTGGATCGGTCCCGCGCGATAGGCTCATTAGCCTAGCAACCTTGAGCACGGACCGCCCGTCCTGGCATTCCTAAGGCCTGCCCCAGACACCTTGGCACGACGTCGAACCGTCGAATGCCCCTCCTATTGAATCTCGGATGTCGAAGTCTAAACCTCCAAACTCGAACCCTGCACGCAGCTTTGTGGCGGGTGGCGGGCCTGTGCCCGGGGGGCCGTGTATGATGGCCATGTCCTTGGCCCGCAGCGCCTTGACCACGGCCGCCTTCCAGGCGTCGGCCAGGAGAGCGCGCACCGTATCATCCTCGTCTAGAACGTCGACGATGTCCTCCTCCTGCTCTTGGCGGCGAGCTCAGGGGGAAAGGTAGAAGGGGGCCGGCCTTCTCAGAAGGCTCAGAAGGCCTCCGGCCTTCGGAGAAGCTTTCACAGCCTTCACCGAAGACACAACCGGTTTTTCAGAAGGCGCGAGGGCTTCTGAGAGGCCCCGCACCCTTCTGAGAAGGCCCCCCCCCTCGTTTCCCCCATGGGATCGCCGCCAATGCTCTTCCTCCACCACACCTCTTTTACCCTCCTCCCTCCTCTTCCTCCTCCACCTCCTGCTCAGCGAGCATGCAACTTTTTGTCGTGCCAATCCGAAGGCGAAGGATAGGGTCGCCGTCCACTTCGGTTTCCCAGCCGGTCGGTTTTGGACGGTCGGGGGCATACTTGGTCTCGCGTTAGACGGAGCAGCAAGGATGTGGAAGTCACGGTCGCCAACCAATCTTGGCGGTGGGGCGGTGGTTGGTGTATCGGCTGTCTCAGGCAGATTAGCACTGCAAATCCCACCAGCCCTCTGGGCAAAGGTCATACAACAAGTTGTTGTCTTTCCCCTCCCGAAGCCCCATCCTTCCCTTGCTCGGGGGAGGTATTCATGAATTTTACATATTAATATGCCCCCCCTCCCCCAGGCGACCGGCAGCAAACCAGAAACCAGGAGGACACCATGCTCCCCCCCAAACCCCCCAACATCCCTGTCAACAAAATATAAAATACATGCACTTTGGGGCAAAGTCCAGAGTCATGTTCGTGAGGCCCGCGAGCACTCTGTATTACTTTTGACAGGGACGGCGGGGGTGTCAGCATATTGCCTGCCGTGCGCAGGGCTACAATACCTCACACAAAAAACAATCCAAAATGCACCTCGCGGCTAAATCTGGATCATGCGCGGCCACCCCGCGATCACTGTGTCAAGTGGTTTTTGACAGGGACGGCGGGGGTGGTGGCGTAGGGCCTGCTGTGCGCAGGCCCACCAGACGCAATGATGGGCATTGGTTGTCGACGCGGATGGTGGGGTCCGACATGTTTCCCGATGCGTGCTGTCACGTGCGCAGGCGCACTTGACACACTCTGCACGTGCCACGAACATGCGCACCTGGCGCGGCTGGAGTATGCGGCACACCTGGCACACGCGGAGTACGCGGCGCATCTGGCGCACCAGGCGTGCCTGGCACGCCTGGGCCCCAGGGATGCCTGGCGCGCGTAGCGCGCCTGGCACGCGTGGCGCACCTCGCCCCAGCGTCGCGCACATGGGGTCGGTTTCGGCTTCACGCTCGGGTGTTACGTATGTGTTGTGAGGGCGGGTGGGAGTGAGCTAGACGGCTTGCTATCTTGGGGGTGCTTGGCCCCTCCCCGTAGCCCCTCCCGTGGGCCTGACCGGGGGATGGGGGGCGAGGTGGCAGAAGGCCCTTTGGGGTCCAATATGGCTCGAAGAGCGCGCCAGATGCTAAAAGTTGCCTCCAAGATGGCTCAACATACGTCCAGACGGCTCAAGATAGCTTCCAGCATACCTCCAAGAGGCTCAATTTCGGGCTACTGACCGCCCAAGACGGACCATGAGGCCCGCAATACCGCCCCACGATGGCCCAAGAGGCCCCCAAAAGGGCACCCAGACGGTCCAAGAGGAGCCCAAGACGGCCCCAAGAGGAGCCCAAGAGGGGAACTGGAAGTGAAAAAGCTTCTTAGAGGCCCCCCAAGAAACTCCCACACGCATTCAAGATACCTCTGACATACAACCTGTGCACGGTGGCGAGATGGGCCGAAGGCCACTAGATCCGCCGCCCCCTGCTCGCAGGGGTGCCAGGCGTGCCAGACATTATCGGTTTTGGTTTTGGTTCTTTTTCCAAAGTGGGTTTCGGCCCGACACGCTGGGGTCCCGGGATTTTTCCACGGACCTCACTTCCCCAATTTTCTGCCCCAGACGGCTCCAAGATAGCCTCCAAGATGGCCAAGCTGGCCCCGGATGGCCTCCAAGATGATCCAAGATCGCCTCCAAGTCCGCCCAAGATGGTCCAACGCGGCCTCCAAGACGGCCCACGAGAGTCCAAGAGGGCCCCAGACGGGCCAAGAGGCCCCCCAGAGGCCTCCCAGACGGCCCAAGAGGCCTCCTAGAGGTCCTCCAGGAGGGCCCGAAGAGGCCCAAATCATTGATTCGCTGTAGGTTTTTGAAGGGTTTTGGAATTTGCTTCTTCTCGGCATTCCGACGGCTCAAGACGGCCCAAGAGGCCCCCAAGATCGCCCAAGAGGCCCCAAAGAGGGCCCCATGACGGCCCAAGTGGCCTCCAAGATGGCCCTAAGAGGGCCCCAAGACGGCCCAAGATGGCCTCCAACACGCCCAAGATGGCCTCCAAGACGCCCAAGATGGCCTCCAAGACGGCCCCGAAGCGCCCCAAAAGGGTCCCCCGTTGGCCCAGAAAAGGCCCCTAAGACGGCTCCCGACAGACGTGACGAACCCACCAAGATGGCCGAAGTTGGCTCGAAGCTGGCCCAAAAAGGCCCAAGAGGCCCCCAAGAGGGCCTCCAGGAAGGCCAGAAGAGGCCAAAAACATTGATGTTCCTTAGGTTGTTGACGGATTTTGACATTTCCTTCTGTTCGGCCTTCCGACGGCCCGAGACGGCCCAAGAGCCCCCAAAGATCGCCGAAAGATCGCCCAAGAGGCCTCCAAGATGGCCGAGATGACCTTCAAGACGCCCACGTGTTCCCCGAAGGATTTCCAAACCGATTCGGGGAACACTCCAAGATGGCCTCCAAGATGGCCAAGATGGCTCAAGATGGCCTCCCAGATGGTCCAAGATGGCCTCCAAGTCCGCCCAAGATGGTCCAAGAGGGCCTCCAAGACGGGACAAGAGAGTCCAAGACGGCCCAAGACAGCCAAAGAGGCCCCCCAGAGGTCTGCCAGACGGCCCAAGAGGCCCAAATCATTGATTTGCCTTAGGTTTTTGAAGGGTTTTGGAATTTGCTTCTTCTCGGCATTCCGACGGCTCAAGACGGCCCAAGAGCCCCCCAAGATCGCCCAAGAGGCCCCCAAGAGGGCCCCCAAGATCGCCCAAGATGGCCCCCAAGACGGCCAAGATGGCCCCCAAGACGGCCCAAGAGGCCTCCAACACGCCCAAGATGGCCTCCAAGACGCCCAAGATGGCCTCCAAGACGGCCCCGAAGCGCCCCAAGAGGGTCCCCCGTTGGCCCAGAAAGGCCCCCAAGACGGCTCCCGACGGCGTCAGACGTGCCAGGAACTCACCAAGATGGCCGAAGTTGGCTCGAAGCTGGCCCAAGACGGCCCAAGAGGCCCCCAAGAGGGCCTCCAGGAAGGCCAGAAGAGACCAACAACATTGATGTTCCTCAGGTTGTTTTCCAAGTTTTTGACGTATTTTGACATTTCCTTCTTTTCGGCCTTCCGACGGCCCGAGACGGCCCAAGAGCCCCCAACGCCCAAGAGGCCTGCAAGACAGCCGAGATGACCTTCAAGACGCCCACGTGTTCCCCGAAGGCTTTCCAAACCGATTCGGGGAGCACATGGTCCGATGGCTTGGCAGGTCTGGCCTCAACGTTCGGCCACATAGGCGCTTCCGAAAAAGCAGGGGGCGGCGGTGATTCGCCGTAGGCGTCTTCGATCCGCCGCCCCCTTTTGATTTATCGAAGGGCTACCTGGCGTGCCGAATGGTATGGCTTTTGGTTTTGGTTCTTTTTTCCAAAAGAACTCCCCCTGGGGCTTCGACGCGTCCCGCCGGCAACCCGGACAGGATCAAAGAGCCCAATCCGGAAAACAAATCCTCCAAGATGGTTCAAGATGGCTTCCAAGATGGCCACGTTGGCCCAAGATGGCATGCCCTCCAAGTCCGCCCAATATGGTCCAAGACGGCCTCCAAGACGGCCCAAGAGAGTCCAAGATACCTCCAAGGTCGCCCAAGAAGCCTCCAAGACAGCCCAAGACTACCCAAGTGTCCTCCAAGAGGTCCTCCAGGAGGGCCCGAAGATGCCAAAATCATTGAGTTTCCTATGGTTTTTGACGGATTTTGGCAATTGCTTCTTCTCGGCATTCCGACGGCTCAAGACGGCCCAAGAGGCCCCCGAGATCGCCCAAGAGGCCCCCAAGAGGGCCCCATGACGGCCCAAGTGGCCTCCAAGACGGCCAAGATGGCCCCCAAGACGGCCCAAGAGGCCTCCAACACGCCCAAGATGGCCTCCAAGACGCCCAAGATGGCCTCCAAGACGGCCCCGAAGCGCCCCAAGAGGGCCCTAAGTCGGCCCAGAAAGGCCCCCGAGACGGCTCCCGACGGCGTCAGACGTGCCAGGAACCCGCCAAGGTGGCTCGAAGCTGGCCCAAGACGGCCCAAGAGGCCCCCAAGAGGGCCTCCAGGAAGGCCAGAAGAGGCCAAAAACACTGATGTTCCATGCTTATATATATATATATATATATATGTATAAGAAGATGTTGACATTTGCTTCTTTTCGGCCTTCCAACGGCCCGAGACGGCCCAAGAGCCCCCGAAGATCGCCGAAAGATCGCCCATGAGTCCTCCAAGATGGCCCCAGAACGGCCCAAGAGGACCCCAAGACGGCCCCAAGAGGCCCCCAAGACGGCACAGGAGGCCTTTAAGACGGCCAAGATGGCCTCCAAGACGGCCCTGGAGCATCCCAAGAGGGCCCCAAGTCGGCCCAGAAAGGCCCCCCAAACGGCTTCCGACGGCGTCAGACGGACCAGGAACCCACCAAGATGGCCGAAGTTGGCTCGAAGCCGGCCCAAGACGGCCCAAGAGGCCTCCAAGAGGGCCTCCAGGGAGGCACGAAAATGCCAAAATCATTGGTTTCCAATGGGTTTTTGAAGGATTGTGGCATTTGCTTTTGTTCTGCCTTCCGACGGCCCGAGACGGCCCAAGTGCACCCAAAGATCGCCCAAGAGGCCCAAGACACCCAAGAGGCCCCCAAGGCGGCCCAAGAGGTCTCGAAGA